GTGGTCCCAGCTACTCAGGCTGAGGTGGGATGATCACATGAGCCTGAGGAGGTTGAGGGTGTAGTGAGCTGTCATCACACTCAGCCTGAGTGACAGTGAGACCCTGTCTCCAAAAAAAAAAGCTCTGCACTCAGCCTGAGTGACAGTGAGACCCTGTCTCCAAAAAAAAGCTATCAATAAAAAGTTCTAGCCAGGCGCGGTGGCTCACGCCTATTATCCCAGCACTTTGGGAGGCCAAGACGGGCCGATCACAAGGTCAAGAAAACGAGACCATCCTGGTCAACATGGCGAAACCCCAGCTCTACTAAAAATACAAAAATTAGCTGGGCATGGTGGCACACGCCTGTAGTCCCAGCTACTCGGAGGCTGAGGCAGGAGAACTGCTTGAACACAGGAGACAGAGGTTGCGGTGAGCCGAGATCGTGCCATTGCACTCCAGCCTGGGTAACAAGAGTGAAACTCTGTCTCAAAAAAAAAAAAAGTTCTTAGTTAACTGGGCATGGTGGTGCATCCCTATAGTCCTAGCAACTTGGAAGGCTGAGGTGGGAGGATCACTTGAACCTAGCAGGTCAAGGCTGCAATGAGCTGTGATCATGCCACTGCACTCCAACCTGGGAGATACACCGAGACCCTGCCTCAAGGGGAAAAAAAAAAGGCCAGAAACGGTAGCTCACGCTTGTAATCCCAGCACTTTGGGAGGCTGAGGCAGGTGTATCACCTAAGGCCAGGAGTTCAAGACCAGCCTGGCCAAGATGGTGAAACCCTATCTCTACTAAAAATACAAAAATGGCCGGGCGCGGTGGCTCAAGCCTGTAATCCCAGCACTTTGGGAGGCCGAGGCGGGTGGATCACGAGGTCGAGAGATCGAGACCATCCTGGTCAACGTGGTGAAACCCCGTCTCTACTAAAAATACTAAAAGTTAGCTGGGCATGGTGGCGTGTGCCTGTAATCCCAGCTACTCAGGAGGCTAAGGCAGGAGAATTGCCTGAACCCAAGAGGCGGAGGTTGCGGTGAGCCGAGATCGCGCCATTGCACTCCAGCCTGGGCAACAAGAGCGAAACTCCGTCTCAAAAAAAAAAAAAATACAAAAATTAGCCAGGTATGGTGGCAGGCACCTGTAATCCCAGCTACTTGGAGGCTGAGGTGGGAAAACTGGTTGAACTCGAGAGGTGGAGGTTGCAGTGAGCAAAGATTGTGCCACTGCACTCCAGCCTGGGTGACAGAGTGAGACTCTTATCAAAACATTAAACAAATAAAAATTTTTTAAAATAGGAATAAAATTTCAGGGCCGGGCACGGTGGCTCAACCCTGTAATCCTAACACTTTGGGAGGCCGAGGCGGGTGGATCACAAGGTCGAGAGATCGAGACCATCCTGGTCAACATGGTAAAACCCCGTCTCTACTAAAAATACAAAAAATGAGCTGGGCATGGTGGCATATGCCTGTAATCCCAGCTACTCAGGAGGCTGAGGCAGGAGAACTGCTTGAACCCAGGAGGCGGAGGTTGCAGTAAGCCGAGATCGCGCCATTGCACTCCAGCCTGGGTAACAAGAGCGAAACTCCATCTCAAAAAAAATAAAAATAAAAATAAAAAAAATAAAATTTCAAAATAAAAACAAAGTGTGGGTAAAATATGGAGTAACTAGAAGTCACTCACTTATTGCCAACAGGAATGTAAAAAATAGTACAACCACTACGGAAAACAGTTTGGCAGTTTCTTACAAAGTTAAACATACAGCAACTTACCCCTAAATATTTACGTAAGCCACATGAAAGCATAACACAAGAAACCCTGAAAACAAATATTCATAGTATCTGTATTCACAATAGCCACTAGTTGTAAGCAACCCAAATATCCACCCATACATCACGAACAATATAGTTATGTCTATACCATGGAATATGACTCCACCATAAAAGAAACAAAATACTATACACACAAAGATATGAATGAAATCTCATAAACAGTATGCTAAGCAAGAGAAGCCAGACACAAAAGAGTACATGCTACATTAGAAAACACAAACAGGCACAGTGGCTTAGGCTGAGCAAGGTGGCTCACACCTATGAATCCAGCACTTTGGGAGGCTAAGGTGGGCAGATCCCCTGAGGTCAGGAGTTTGAGACCAGCCTAGCCAACATGGTGAAAACCAATCTCTACTAAAAAATACAAAAAAATTAGCCAGACATGGTGGCGCACGCCTGTAATCCCAGCTACTCAGGAGACTGAGGCTGGAGAATCTCTTGAACCTGAGAGGCAGAGGTTGCAGTGAGCCGAGAATGAGCCATTACAATGCAGCCTGGGCGGCCAAATGAGACTCTGATCAAAAAAAAAAAAAAAACAAACTAATTTATAGTAACGGAAATAGGTATCTAAGGCAGGTAGATAAGGAGTGCAGAATAACTAATTGTAAGAGGGAACAACAGAACTTGTGTGGGATAATGGAAATGTTCTCTATTTTTATTATGGCAGTGCATTACATGTGTACATAAGTTTGTTAAAACTTGCCGGGTGCGGTGGCTCACGCCTGTAATCCCAGCACTTTGGGAGGCCAAGGCGGGTGGATCACGAGGTCAAGTGATCGAGACCATCCTGGTCAACATGGTGAAACCCCGTCTATACTAAAAATACAAAAAATTAGCTGGGCATGGTGGCACGTGCCTGTAATACCAGCTACTCAGGAGGCTGAGGCAGGAGAATTGCCTGAACCCAGGAGGCGGAGGTTGCGGTGAGCCGAGATCGCGCCATTGCACTCCAGCCTGGGTAACAAGAGCGATTAACTCCACCTCAAAAAAAAAAAAAAAAAAAACTCATTGAGCTCACCAGGCGAAGTGGCTCACGCCTATAATCCCAGCACTTTGGGAGGCCCAGGCAGGTAGATTACTTGAGGTCAGGAGTTCAACACCAGCCTGGCCAACATGATGAAACCCGATCTCTACAAAAATACAGGCCAGGAGCAATGGCTCATATTTGTAATCCCAGCACTTTGGGAGGCCGAGGCGTGGGGATTACATAAGATAGTAGTATGAGATCAGTTTGGCCAACATGGTGAAATCCCATCTCTACTAAAAATACATAAGTTAGCCAGATGTGGTGGCTCACACCTCTAATCCCAGCTAATCGGGAAACTGAGGCAGGAGAATCACTTGAACCCCGGGAGACTGAGTGAGCTGCACTCTAGCCTGGGCGACAGAGCAAGACTCGCTCTAAAAAAAAGAAAATACAAAAATACAAAAAATTACCTGGGCACGGTGGCACACACCCGTAATCCTAGCTGTCTGAGAGGCTGAAGCAGGAGAACTGTTTGAATCTGGGAGATGGAGGCTGCAGAGAGTTAAGATCACCACAGCACTTCAGCCTGGGTGACAGAGCAAGACTCTGTCTCCAAAAAAAAACACCTCATTGAGCTCTAAAACAGAATGTCTTTTCTATTGTTTTATTTATTTATTTATTTTAATTTTCTTTTCAAATAGAGACTGGTTCTTATTGCAACTTTGACCTCCTAGGCACAAGTGATCCTTCACCTCAGCCTCCCGAGTAGCTGGGACTGACTACAGGGAAAACAGCTGAGACTACTGTGCATTCCACCATGCTGAACTCCCCAAAAGTGTTGCTTTTTTTCTTTCTTTTGAGACGCAGTTTGGCTCTTGCCACCCAGGCTGTAGTAGTGGCACGATCTCAGCTAACTGCCTCCTGGGTTCAAGCGTTTCTCATGCCTCAGCCTCCCAAGTAGCTGGGATTACAAGCACCCACTACTAAGCCCAACTAATTTTCGTATTTTTGGTAGAGATGGGGGTTTCACCATGTTGGCCAGGCTGGTCTCGAACTCCTGACCTCAGGTGATCTGTCTGTCTCAGCCTCCCAAAGTGCTGAAATTACAGGCATGAGCCACCAAGCCCAGTCTTTTTTTTTTTTAAAGACATAGTCTCGCTCTGTCGCCCAGTCTGGAGTGTGGCAGTGCAATCTGGGCTCACTCCAACCTTTGCCTCCAGGGTTCAACTGATTCTGGTGCCTCAGCCTCCCAAGTAGCTGGGATTACAGGCACACGCCACCACGCCCAGCTAATTCTTTGTATTTTTAGTACAGACAGGGTTTCGTCATGTTGCCCAGGTTTGTCTCGAACTCCTGAGCTCAGACAATCCACCCACCTTGGCCTCCCAGAGTACTAGGATTACAGGCATGAGCCACCGTGCCCAGCACAAGGTGCTATTTTTTTTTAGACAAGATCTCACTCTGCCACCTAGGCTGAAGTGCAGTGGCATGATCTCGGCTCACTGCAACCTCTGCCTCCAGGGTTCAAGCAATTCTCCTGTCTCAGCCTCCTGAGCTGGGATTACAGGGATGTGTCACCATGCCCAACTAATTTTTGTATTTTTAGTAGAGACGAGGTTTTTTTGTTTTTAAGAAGGAGTCGTCTCACTCTGTCGCACAGGCTGGAGTGCAGGGGCATGATCTCAGCTCACTACAACCTCCAACTCCTGGGTTCAAGTGATTCTCAAGGCTCAGCCTCCCAAGTAGCTGGGACTACAGGCACACACCACCACGCCCAGCTAATTTTTGTATTTTTAGTAGAGATGGGCTTTTGTCATGCTGGCAGACTGGTCAGGAACTCCTGACTCAGGTGATTCACCCAGTGGGTGTAAGCTACCACCCCCTATGGTGCTTTTTAATGAATGTCAGGTGCAAATAAAGCTGATTATAATTTCTAAAAGTATTACTTTAAGTTTATAGATTTTTACTTTGTATAGAGATGTTCAGTACATTAGACAAAATCAAAATACAAAACATTCCTGAGATTTAACTAAACTCTGAAGTTTGAAGAAAATATATGACTCTTGACTCGTACCAGTACACAAAAATTTCTTATTTATATTCACTGAATATTTACTTAACACCTACTTACCATATGCTAGTATGAACTGCAAGGAAAGATAGAATTCCAGAATAGAGAGAAGCCCATATGTAACTGGATAGAAGGACAAGATATTTAAAACTTACGTTGTTAGCAAGAATGCCCCATCACCACATCTTTCCAGAGCCTTTCGTGCAGGAGGTTTTGCTGCAAATTCTACAAAACCTTTTCCTGTAGCTCTACCACGATCATCCACAACCACAACAGCTTTCTCTACTGGACCAAACTGAGAAAACGCTTGCTCTAGCAGCTCATTGGAAACAACTGGAGAAAGGTTCTTCACAGTTAGGGCTGCTCCATGTGTGGCAAAGCGAATTCGTAGAGGTCTGCTCTTCAAAATGGTGCCATCCAGCTCTGCTTTTGCAATTTCAGCCAGTGTTCTGGATTCCTTTTTAGGAAGAGAAAACATTTTTAAAAGATGACAGTAACAGAAAAAATTTAAAACAGTGGTTGGCTTCTAGGGAGAACAAGGTAGCTTTAGCAAATGGCTGATAGTATCAATTTGTTTTTGATTCTTTTAACATTGGTATCACATGGTTTTAACTATTCAATGACCATTTTAAACATTTTAAGTAAAAGGTCCCAACTCCATTGTTTTGTTAAAAGTCATTTAGGCCGGGCACGGTGGCTCAAGCCTGTAATCCCAGCACTTTGGGAGGCCGAGGCAGGTGGATCACAAGGTCAAGAGATCGAGACCATCCTGGTCAACACGGTGAAACCCCATCTCTACTAAAAATACAAAAAATTATCTGGGCATGGTTGTGCGTGCCTATAATCCCAGCTACTCAGGAGGCTGAGGCAGAATTGCCTGAACCCAGGAGGCGGAGGTTGTGGTGAGCTGAGATCATGCCATTGCACTCCAGCCTGGGTAGTAACAGCGAAACTCCGTCTCAAAAAAAAAAAAAAAAAAGTCATCATTTAAAGATTAGCTCCTCGGCCGGGCGCGGTGGCTCAGGCCTGTAATCCCAGCACTTTGGGAGGCCAAGGCGGGTGGATCACGAGGTTGAGAGATCGAGACCATCCTGGTCAACATGGTGAAACCCCGTCTCTACTAAAAATACAAAAAATTAGCTGGGCATGGTGGCGCGTGCCTGTAATCCCAGCTACTCAGGAGGCTGAGGCAGGAGAATTGCCTGAACCCAGGAGGCGGAGGTTGCGGTGAGCCGAGATCCTGCCATTGCACTCCAGCCTGGGTAACAAGAGTGAAACTCCGTCTCAAAAAAAAAAAAAAAAAAAAAAAAATACAAAAAGTAGCCGGCCTGGTGGTGAGTGCCTATAGTCCCAGCTACTTAGGAGGCTGAGGCAGGAGAATCGCTTGAACCCAGGAGGCGAAGGCTGCAGTAAGCTGAGATCACACCACTGCACTCCAGCCTGGGTGACAGAGTGAAACTCCATCTCAAAAAGAAAAACAAAACAAAAAAAGCCCAGGAGTTTGAGACCTGCTTGGACAACACAGTGAGACTATGTTTTAAACAAAATTAGCCAGGTGTGGTGGCATGTGACTATGGTCTCAGCTACCTGAGGGGCTGAGGTGGAAGGATCACTTGAGTCTAGGAAATCAAGGTTAGAGTGAGCCATGATCATGGTACTTCACTCTGGCCTGGGCACTTTGTCTCAAAAGAAAAAAAAGAAAAAAAAAGACCAGTACACTTAAAATTTGTGTCCTTTAATATATGTAAATTTTTAAAACCCTAAAAAATAATAGCCGGGCGTGGCTATAATGCCTAAAATCATGCCTGTAATCTCAGCACTTTGGGAGGCCGAGACAGGCGAATCATTTGAGGCCAGGAGTTTGAGACCAGCCTGGCCAACATGGCAAAACCCCATTTCTACTAAAAACTAAAAATAAGCCAGGTGTGGTGGCAGATGCCTGTAATCCCAGCTACTGGGGAGGCTGAGGCAGGAGAATCACTTAAACGCAGGAGGAAGAGGTTGCAGTGAGCCAGACTGCGCCACTGCACTCCAGCCTGGGCAACAAGAGTGAAACTCAGTCTCAAAATAATAATAATAATGATAATAATACTAATAGTGGACTGGGCCAGGTATAGTAGCTCAGACCTGTAATCCCAGCACTTTGGGAGGCAAAGGCAGAAGGATGGCTGGAGCCCAGGAGTTTGACACCAGCCTGGGCAACAATAAGAGACCTCATATTTACAAAAAAAAAAAAAAAAAAAAATTAGGTATGGTGGCGTGCACCTGTAACCCCATCTACTTAAGAAGTTGAGGTGGGAGGGTCATTTGAGCCTAGCAGGTCAAGGCTGCAGTGAGCCATGTTTGTACTGCTACAATGCAGCCTGAATGACAGAGCACGATCCATCTCAGAAATGAACAAACTTTAAAAATTGTTGGTTTTTTGGGGTTTTTTTTCCTCTAACGCCCAGGCTGGTATGCAGTGGCACGATCTCAGCTCACTACAGTCTCCATGTCCTGGGTTCAAGCAATTCTCCAGACTCAGCCTCTCGAGTACCTGGGATTACAGGCACATACCACCACGCACGGATAATTTTTTGTATTTTTAGTAGAGACAAGGTTTCACCATGCTTGCCAGGCTGGTCTCGAACTCCTGACCCTGTGATCTGCCCGCCTCAGCCTCCCAAAGTGCTGGTATTACAGGCGTGAGCCACCACAAAAAAAATTGTTTTAAGCCTAAAAAATTGTTTTAAGAAGAAACAATAGGCCAGTTGCAGTGGCTCATCATGCCTGTAATCCCAGCACTTTGAGAGGCCGAGGCAGGTGGATCACTTAAGCTCACAAGTATGAGACCAGCCTGACCAACATGGAGAAACCCCGTGTTGTTGTTATGAGCCAGATAGTTCTTGTACTCTAGCCTGGGCAAGAAGAGTGAAACTCGTCTTAAAAAACAAAAAAAGGGCCAGACGCGGTGGCTCACGCCTGTAGTCCCAGCACTTTGGGAGGCCAAGGCGGGTGGATCACGAGGTCAAGAGATCGAGACCATCCTGGTTACCATGGTGAAACCCCGTCTCTACTAAAAATACAAAAATTAGCTGGGCGTGGTGGCGCGTGCCTGTAATCCCAGCTACTCAGGAGGCTGAGGCAGGAGAATTGCCTGAACCCAGGAGGCGGAGGTTGCGGTGAGCCGAGATCGCGCCATTGCACTCCAGCCTGGGTAACAAGAGCGAAACTCCATCTCAAAAAAAAAAAAAAAAAAAAAAAAAAAAAGAAGAAGAACAAAAAAACAGTCTGGCATGGTGGCTCATGCCTGTAATTCCAACACTTTGGAAGGCCGAGGCGGGAGGATCACAAGGTCAGGAGTTCAAGACCAGCCTGGCCAACTTGGTGAAACCCTGTCTCTACTAAAAATAATTTTATTAGCTGGGCATGGAGGCGCATGGGAGTCTGAAGCAGGAGAACCCAGAAGGCAGAGGTTGCAGTGAGCCGAGATCATGCCACTGCATTCTAGCCTGGGCTACAGAGCGAGACGCCATCTCAAAAAATAAATAATAATAGGCTGGGCGCGATGGCTCAAGCCTGTGATCCCAGCACTTTGGGAGGCCGAGGTGGGTGGATCACGAGGTCGAGAGATCGAGACCATCCTGGTCAACATGGTGAAACCCCGTCTCTACTAAAAATACAAAAAATTAGCTGGGCGTGGTGGCACGTGCCTGTAATCCCAGCTACTCAGGAGGCTGAGGCAGGAGAATTGCCTGAACCCAGGAGGCGGAGGTTGCGGTGAGACGAGATCGCGCCATTGCACTCCAGCCTGGGTAACAAGAGTGAAACTCCGTCTCAAAAAAATAAATAATAAATAAATAAAATTAAAAATCAAGAATCAAAAACCGATGGGTAGAGAAAGATGAACACGTACCTAATAGCACAAATAGAGCAAAATTTAATTGTAAGAAACTAAGTGGCAGGCATATGGAAATACATTCATTTCTTTTCTTTTTTTTCACTCAGGCTGGAGTGCAGTGGTGCCATCTTGGCTCATTGCAACCCCCAGCTCCCAGGTTAAAGCGATTCTCCTGTCTCAGCCTCCCAAGTAGCTGGGACTACAGGCATGCATCACCACGCCCAGCTAATTTTTGTATTTTTAGTAGAGACAGGGTTTCACCATATTGGCCAGGCTAGTCTCCAATTCCTGACCTCGTGATCTACCCGCCTCAGCCTCCCAAAGTGCTGGGATTACAGGCATGAGCCACCACACCTGGCCAGACATACATTCATTTCCGTATATCTAAAATTTTTCATAATTAAATGTTGGAGGGAGGTAGATAAAGGGAATTTGGTAAGGGCTGCAGAACTGAAGAGTGTTTCCAGAGGGCAACTCTTGTTCTGCTTCTCTTAGGTATATCCAAGATGTCACATATTTTGTTTTTTCAGGGAAAACAAGAAATCTCAAATTTTTCATCAAGTCATTTTTAATTACTGGCAACCAATTCCATTCTTAATGCTGCCTGGGTCAAATAAAATGTTTATGCTTTCAGGAATTTTCTTTTTTTTTTTTTTTTTTTTTGAGACGGAGTTTTTGCTCGTTACCCAGGCTAGAGTGCAATGGCGCAATCTTGGCTCACCACAATCTCCGCCTCCTGGGTTCAGGCAATTCTCCTGCCTCAGCCTCCTGAGTAGCTGGGATTACAGGCACGCGCCACCATGCCCAGCTAATTTTTTGTATTTTTAGTAGAGACGGGGTTTCACCATGTTGACCAGGATGGTCTCGATCTCTTGACCTCGTGATCCACCCGCCTCGGCCTCCCAAAGTGCTGGGATTACAGGCTTGAGCCACCGCACCCGGCAGGAATTTTCAATGCTATAAATAAATCCTTTTTCAAAGTTTATGGATTTTTTTTTTTTTTTTTTTTTTTTTTGAGACGGAGTTTTGCTCTTGTTGCCCAGGCTGGAGTGCAATGGCGTGATCTCGGCTCACCGCAACCTCCGCCTCCTGGGTTCAGGCAATTCTCCTGCCTCAGCCTCCCGAGTAGCTGGGATTACAGGCACGTGCCACCATGCCTAGCTAATGTTTTGTATTTTTAGTAGAGACGGGGTTTCACCATATTGACCAGGATGGCCTCGATCTCCTGACCTCGTGATCCACCTGCCTCGGCCTCCCAAAGTGCTGGGATTACAGGCGTGAGCCACCGCGCCCGGCTTTTTTTTTTTTTTCTTTTTGAGACAGTCTTCCTCTGTCGCCCAGGCTGGAGTACAGTGATGCGATCTTGGCTCACTGCAACCTCTGCCTCCTAAGTTCAAGAGAGTCTCATGCCTCAGTTTCCCCAGTAGCTGGGATTACTAATTTTTACATTTTTAGTAGAGACAGGGTTTCACCATGTTGGCCAGGCTGGTCTGGATCTCCCAACCTCAGGTGATCCACCAACTTAGGCCTCTCAAAGTGCTGGAATTACAGGCATGAGCCACCGTGCCCGGCCACTT